TGTGTTCATTGTGCTTACCAGCTGTCTTTTGCGGGTTGGTTGGGGTGGGGGTGAAGGGGGAGGAGGCAGCCACACAGTCGCACTGGCCTCTGTGTTCAATGTTCTTACTTTTTGGCCTCTACATTTAAAACTGTTATGGCTTGAGTGACTTGAGTCCCATGGCAATAGGCATGGTCATATTGTGGGGTTCCTCTGTTTTTTGTTTGAGCACATGTACGTGTGTGCCGAATGGGATAATAATGGCATTGGTCTTACAGAGTACAATGCTGATGTCAGATGGGTTGTGTGTGTAAGGGTTGTACACTGCTGTGTGTCACCTGAATAGAACATTGGTCAATTTCCCTGCATCTGGACTGAAAAAAGCTCCCCCTAATACACCGATATGATGACTAGTCATCCTGTCGAAGAGCAGAGCAGACGCTTCGCATCGTATCGAAGAGCAGAGCAGGTGACGACGGTGGTTTTCGCAATCAGGCAGTGAATTCACTGCTTGCCTTGCAGACATACTACACTGGGCGAGAAGAGCGGATAGGGCATGCCACCAGTATGCGAGAGATTTCAGGGGTGTTGACTGTCGACTTTTTCGGTATGAGAGAGATTTCAGGGGCGTTGACTGTTGACTTTTTCGGTGTGAGAGAGATTTCAGGGGCGTTGACTGTTGACTTTGTCGGTATGTGTTGACTTGCAGAGAAGCTCCTGGTGATACTCCGTGATGGTAGGAAACTCATTGGCATCCTGCGGTCATTTGATCAATTTGGTAAATCTCAACCTGCCACTTTTTTTACTTTTTTAAAGTCTTTTTTTTTTAATATATAAAAATCTAACATCACCATCTTTTGTATATCCAAGTTAATTGAACTCTCATCTTGGTATGAAGAAGCCAGAGTTTTTTCACATGTTTTGTGGCTGCTCTGTGGGTACTGCCAGTTTTCGTGTAAAGAAAGTTGAATTACCATTTTAGGAAGGTTGCGAAGGGCCTCCCACTCTGACGGTGCCGAAAAACTGTCTGGAAAAGGG